AACCATATATTTTCATGTCGCCAAATTTCCCAGTGTACAGTCTAGTCACATATCCGTATGGCTGTATGCCCAAAGCTTCCCATTGTCTATCTGTATGTTCAAATGCCCATCTCATATCTGCCCGATGTCCAGCCATATGTTCATATGCCCATATCTCCCCATTGTTTAATCATATAACATATTCATATGCCCATATCTCCCCATTGTTTAATCATATCATATATGAAATTCATATGCCCATATCACAACAAAGTAAGATAGGTCATATGTTGTATCCAGGAGTTGGTCGCCGACCTTTTGAAGTCCCACCCTGACTTGATTGAGCATCACCGCTTCCACGACTACTTTGACTACTGTGTCAAGTCCCTCATGAACTATGGGGAGGTGGTGAGTGATAGGCTGGCATCGAAGCGGCATTACGATTTGTGGGCCCGGTTGACTGACACCCCCGAGAAGGAACCCATGGGGTTGTTTTTCTACGTTTTCTGTTTATTGGAGATCAACTGCTTGCTGAGTAGGAAGGTACCGAAGGATATGTATAGTGTAGGTTTATTCATCTGAGACCGATCTTACTCCCCCGGCCCCCAACATCCCAAACCATACCTCCTGCCCGACCCTATGCAGGACAACCAGGGTGCATCAAACCCCGCTGCACGTGCTGAAGATTTGGACATTTGGCTTTGATTCAAGACAACTTCTGTTGATCAGTTGCTGGAAACAAGACAGGGGATAGAAACATTTTTTTGTCACTCTATGGTGGTTTGGGGTTTGTATATATCTCTACAGAGGATCCTCTGAACACAGCCCGCTTGTTCATGAACTTGCCCGTGGAGCCGGTCCTTATCGATGACCGTGAGGAAGAGGATGCCGTCGCTCTTCCTCCAACCAAGCGGCCGAAGACAGGGCCTGCCGTCGCAGAGGCGCTTGTGGGTCAACCGATGAGGGAGGTGCCACACCAAGGAGTCCCTTCGTTGAAAATTACTTTTCCCCGCCCTTGAAATTTTTGTTTGAGGCCCATCCTATCAATGAGCATGATTCCTTCAATATTCATGTTTCGTTTGGCCCAGGTCTCGAAGTCCCGTGTTCGAAAGGACACCGGTGCTGTCACGAGCAAGTTCAAGGAGTTTGATTTGGCTTCTATGGGGGTACCACAAGAAGCATGGCCGTTGGCTGACTTCCCATACAAAGGAAGCAAATCCTTTACGGTCAGGTCCCGTTCAGGAGCAGTACCTTCCCATCTAAGATTGTGGGATGGGGAGAACCGTTGCCCTGAAATGAAAATCAATAGGAATTGCGTGGGGTTGTTGAAGGTGTCAGTTCAGCTTGTGAAAAACACATTGAATCAAACATGTGACAAAATTTGAAAAACACATTGAATCAAACATGTGACAAATTTTGAAAAACACATTGAATCAAACATGTGACAGACTAGTTGTTGTCGGCTTCAAGTGGCCCATTACACAAGTGCAGCCTAGGCAATTGAGATCCTTCTTGCCGGAAAGGCTTTCGTCATCAAAAAGATCGGTTCTATCAAAGGTGAATCTGAAGACGGCAGTGATGGTGCTACTGCCACTGCGAAGTCTACCCAGATTACTTGGTCAAAGCATGGTGGGGCTTCCAAAGCTTGGGAGCTTGCAAAGCACCGTGCAAAGTTTGTTTAGAGCGTAGGATTGATATCGGATAGCATCAAGACATGCTGACAATTTCTGTGGTGACAATTTCTTTTGGGACATGGAAATGACGATCATTTCCATTCAGTTTCGGGGTGTCGCCCCATAGGATGTCTCTGCACATTAGGGGCACCCTTGGATCTGGAGTAGGGTTTGGAAATTTCCCACATCAACGGAAATCACGTCGGCCGAGAAAAACTGTGCCTTCTCCATGCAGTGGTGGAGCTTTACCAGAGGTCCTGCATTGGCAACATCAGGTCAACCCATGTACCCAAAGAAATCTTGAAGATCAATTAGCTTTTACATAGAAACTCTGGATGTAAAGAAACCTTGGTTTACAGCATCGCTTTAGGATATGACATGAGTAACCCCGAGTTATTTGATGCATCCCCCAACAGCTGAACCTTTCCCCCCACGCAGGTCAAATCATTTGGGGCCAACAAAGTGGACAACCAGGCCGCTGGTGTTCTGGGTGTGTCGACTATGGTTCAACTCGTGCCTTCAATTGTCATTTTGACATTCATGAAACGTATATACAGTTCATGGAAACACACCACAATGTATATAGTGAATTAAAGGCATTGATGTTACTTCTGCAGCAGCTGCAACTTAATTTCATGATGCCTTCCAAAAAACATATACAGAATCACCGGAACATAGCTTGGCATGTTTGGAAACATATCATGATTGAGCGAACAGAACCAGTTTGGGCAAGCTTCGCCTGCCACAGGTCTTGGCTACATCCGACAAAAAGGCCCATGGTGTTTCAGGATGGTTGGTGGTGTGCGCACCAAATACTGTTGGTTAGCCCCTCATCAAATGAGAGGTTTTCAGATTTCTTAGCTTTTACCATCCCATGTGGTAGACCCAATAATCAATGGGAATTTCAGGATCCTAAATTGGAGGTACTGTACCATATAAGGCCATATTTTGTGGGGATATTTCCTTACATAGGCCTTATATAGGCCTTATATATGGTAGGTACCTCCAATTTAGGATCCTGGAATGGCCATTGAAATAACAAGCAATTCCAACAGCCATTGCAGTATCATGTTTTAAACCATCTATAGACTTGTATGCCCAAAAAAGGCGATATTGTGGATTACTTGTTTTTGGGTTTACCCAACATGAAGCTGTGCATGCCAATCAATTCCCACTCAAGCCCCGCAGCAAGCCCGGCAGTCATCCATCGCATTTCCTTGTGCTTTAACGCCTGAGCGCGCCATGCCAAAGGTGAAAAAGGTGTTGAAGAAAGAAGCCCAGCGAAGGGTCCAGCTTTTAGATCGTAAGATGCCTTTTCAAGAGTCCCCTACTTTGAAGCAGCCTAGATCTATGAAGGATCGGCAGCAAGCATGGGTCCTAGCTGGTTTGAAGCACATTCGGGCTCCTCTGGCACCTTGCTTCATGTATCAAAGTTGTATCTAAATTACTCCATCAAGTTTCCAAAGGGAATGATGTGATATCTTGAAATTCATGCCCATCATCCACGAGGCCACCGCCCACTCTCTGAGGTACTGGCCACTCTCGTGTCCATGATGTTTTCCATTCCCCACCTGAATTGGGACCAGCCGATCGACCATTTTGAGACATTCGCGGGATGCATGGAGGTAACGAAGCATGAGTGGATGGAGCGGGGGTTGGAAAAAAACAAAAATGGCAAATTCCCATCTGGGATGGTTCACCAAAAAAGCCCCCAGCAAGTCACCAAAATACAGCATTTGGCCCCACATTTCATGAAAGATTGTGGGACTTGTGGGTGGCTTTTTTTGGGGGAACCAACCCATGCAAAACATTTATTGTGGTATTGGGGTAGTGGGTGATCCAAGGTTGTTATTTCATCCAATCTGTTTCTAAAGTCTTTGGTGTTATGATAAGCATACCTATCAACCAGCCCATACAATAGGGTGGGGAAGAGAATTGAGCCACCAAGATCGTTGTGCAAAAAGATTATCAACCATAATTACTATCTACTTGGTCTTCCCTTGATCCACAATAGGGACAATCTAGGCATCAATGGGGTAGAGTCAAATAGATTATTTGAGGGGAATGTGCTACGTGTCTTTTTGTTTAATGAGGCCTATAAAAAGATACCCCTCAACCAACCCATATCATAGAATGGGATTAAAATGTTCCATGCGCCCTTATCTGATCCAGAATTTTAATCTACGACATTTTCAAGCCGGAATATAAGACCCAGTGTATTCACATGCTTTCCCTGTTAGGAGAACCGCCGAGCAGTTCCATTTGATATCAACTTCAACTCCAAGACTATGGACTTGCTGACAGAAACCGGATTCGCAAATGCCTTATACCACACCTTAAATCTGGACCTGGGGGCTGGTGCAACATCAGCCCCAGTTTGTTCAACCTTTGTGTTTATGAATCTTTGCTTGCATTCATTGCTGGAACTTTCTGATCTAGGGGAAAGATGTATTGACTATTGACCCACACTGTATGACGGGTATGTTCCTGCCAGCTTTAGTTGCAACTAGATGGTACGTTGCTGGTTTCTGCGTAAAACTAGTGTGCCATGGGTACCTATCCTTCAAGCCCAGGAGTATGGGATCGACATTGCGAACTCGCGACAACCCGCTGGGTCGCTTGGATTCAGAGGCGGTGAAAAATGGAAATCTCCTTTGCAGTCGGGCGCTAGTTCTGATGCTGCTATGTGCAGCCAAAGGAATCTTTTGGTGCTTAGAGCAACCAGGTAGCTCTACCATGGAATGGCATCCCTTGTTTCAGCAAGTGCTGCGGCTTGTCACTGTGAGACGCCATATGTTTCGAATGTCACAGTTTGGGAGCGCTACACCAAAGCGGACAATTCTTTATTCGAGTAGCTTGAACCATGTTTTAGCTTTTGACCTTTTTTCGGATCATTTTCAGTTTGCGTTCGCAATTTCAAAGGCAGAAATAAAGTTATCAAGTTCAGTCCCTTCATCTCTGCAGGCCACAGGTGTATCTCACAGATCATGGACCACGTGGTACCAGAGCGCTTAAAGGATCGAGAGATGGTGGTGCGGTATGTGAGCCGGGCAGGGCAGTCCAGGTTTCATGGAGGCTCCCACCTAAAGGGATCTCAAGCTTACCCAGCAGGGTTCCTTGGCGGTTTATCTATCTATACCAAAATGCACCCTGGTTCTGCTATTTGTTTCCTTGCTTCCCTGGGGAGTGTCAAACACTTTATCACTTACTGTCTCACCATTGCCATCTCAGGTTTGGCCGTGCCCTTTCCATGGTGCGGTCAGCCAACATGAAGAAGAACAAGCGTTTGGCTCTTGAGTTCATGCGAAGAGCCAGGAAAACTACAAATGCCTTGGATAGCCGTGCTCGTACCAACAACATGTGGTTAAAGCATGCAGGCCTTAAGCCTGTTATTGAGTTCCTATCAAAACGGTAGGAATTCTTTTTCTGGATCAGCTACCAACAACGTGGACTAGCTGGCTGAGTTTGTGCTTTCATGGGGTTTGGCACCTTCCAGGGGTGGTTTCTATTCTGAAAAGACAAACAAAGAAGTTGTCTACACTTTCTATGGTGGAAGGTGCCGATGTCGCCTAGGCTCAGTTCAACAGCTGCGCAATTTCAGGAGAAATGGTTGTGGATGCCCTGACTGAGAAGTTAATAGTTAATAGTAGCTGTTTGAAACTATGGTTCTCCTGTGGATGTCCTTATTGAGAAATTATGGTTCTCCTCTACACACCCGGTCCCCTGAGCCCTGATGGGCCCCAAGAGTTTGCCTATCAATTTGCCTGGATGGCCAGGCCATGCCGCGCCTCTTCTTGAAGAGATTCTGCGATGATAGCTTTGGCCTGCCCAGCGTCTTTGCAGCCAAGAATTCAGGAGTTTGGGTGCTGGAGATCACCAAAAACCATACCGGATATATCATCGCATGTTTTTTTATTTTTTCATCAAAAAAAATGGTGCGCAAAACCGAGAAAATAGTGCGAATAACCGAGAATTAGTGCGCCTTGTAGAAAGGGTCTGGAATCTGTAAAAGATCAAACTGATTATCTACCATCTTGGAGACATTTTGGATCACAGAGTTTGGGGTTTTCTTGATGGTGGCATCAGAGCCACCACAAAGGAGGATGAGTGGCAAGGGGCCAGCTACTAGGCCTAGTGCCCTACGCAAACCTGGGTCCACCTCAGGGTCTTCTGCTTCGAGTAAGCCCCATGTCATACAGCCAAAGTTGAAGCAGAACCAAAAGAAGAAACAGCTTGGAGCAGACTTGAAGAACCTACGTGCCCCAAGTAGGAAGAGGAGCCGAGAGGACACCGACACCAGTTCCAAGGCTTCATCCAAGAAGCCAAAAGTTGAAGAGAAAAAGGAGAAAGGAAAGGAAAGTTCCAAGGCTAAGGAAAAGAAGGATTCAAAAGACAAGAAGAAGAAGGAGAAGAAGGATCAGAAGGATCAGAAGGAGGGCTCCAAGACGAAAGATGAGAAGAAGAAGGAACCGAAGGAGAAGTCTCAGACACTCAAGACGAAAGATGAGAAGAAGGAACCGAAGGAGGAGCCAAAGACCCTCAAGACGAAAGATGAGAAGAAGAAGGAACCGAAGGAGGAGCCGAAGACCCTCAAGACGAAAGATGAGAAGAAGAAGGAACCGAAGGAGGAGCCGAAGACCCTCAAAACGAAAGATGAGAAGAAGAAACAACAGAAGGAGAAGCCTGAGACACTCAAGACGAATGAGAAGATGAAATCCAAGGAGAAGGAGAAGGAAGAGGAACAAAAGGGAAAGAAGGGACAGCATGAGAGAGCAAAGGAGAAGAAAGAGAAGGACCCGACCGAAAAGACAGGTGGAGATGAGAAGGCAGTAGCCAATAAGAAGGAATCAAAGAATGGTGCCAAAGAGAAGGGACAGGATCGAAACAAGGACAAAGAGGAAACTGAGAAGAAGAAAAAGGAGGCACCGATCAAGTTCATTCCTGCACAAGCTCAGAAAATTTCCCCAATTTTTTCTCTGCCGTCCACACCACCCAGCAAGCAGAAAGCCGAAGCCAAACTGGCAGACCTTGCGGCGCATCTAGCAGAGATGGGCACAGACGATGGTGAGGATGAGTTGGAGCTGGACCTACTACAGAGTGGGAAGTTGGAGCAAGTCTCACTTTGTGATGGAAAGGCCTCAGCAAAAGGAAGCAATGGCGAAAGTACAGATGAAGAGACAGATGAAGAGGCAGATGAAGAAAAGGATGAAGAGAAGGATGAGGAAGATTCAGAAGACTCAGAAGGTGAAGGTGAACCGGAAAGCGGAGAAGAAGGTTCGGAAGAAGAAGAGGGAGACGAAGAAGAAGGCGGAGATGATGCAGATTCAGATGAAGAATCGGATGTGGAGGTGGTGGACCAGGGCCCACCAGGTGAGATTGATGATGTGGATCCATCCACTTCTGAGTCTGATGATGGGTCTGATGAAGAGAGCAACGGAGACGCAGAGACAGAAGGTGGAGTGGAGAAGGATGAGGATGATGAGAAGGAGAAGCCAGAGAAGGAGGAAACAAACACAAATCCACCCGATGCTGCCAACCAACATGCGTTGGTGGCTGTGACGGAGGGTACCAATACCCAGGCAATGGTTCTTCGCAACAGCACTTTGATAAAAATAGTGTATGGTTGGCAGGGTTTGGGAAGCCTACTCTCTATCTTCAATGATTCAAAGTGTCACCAAACACCACCAAGAAAAAGAAAAAATGACATCCATCCATAAATGGGGGATTGTTTGGGGTTGAAGGGTGTTCTCAGATCCAAAGAACAACAAACAAAAGTCAATGGCCCCCCCTCTCCCGACCGTGCATCTTCGGCTAAGGTACGACAAACAAAAGGGAGTGGGACTCGTACATTCGTGCGGTCCAGAACAGAGGCAAATTTCCTGTGGCCCTCTCCGAAGTGTTTCAAACGCAGAAGGTTGAGCTTTTCAACTGGTGGTTAGACTCGGGGAGGGACTGGGACAAGGTGCAGATGATTGTGAAAAGGGTTGCTGAGGGTCGCAATACTTCGACGAAGGGGTGGCATGCTGTCCAAGGCAAACAGCTGAGAACACAGCTCACCCAGGAGAAATTCGACAAGCTGGTTGCAAGCCGCATGCAAAGCGGCTTGTACTACCAAGATGAAGACTTTCCGGATGACACAGATGAATCTAGCCTAAGCATCGATGTTTCAGTCTTGGTTCAGTGATCTCACACTGTATCTTTGGGTATGGGTAAACAAAATCCTTGGATCAATCTCAGGGGTTCCAAGAGTTTGGCTTTGATTTCAAAACTATCAATCTTAGGGGTCCGACATTTACAAACATCAATCTCAGGGGTATCAACTATCAATCTCAGGGGTACGACATTTAGCGGGTCCCACATGGTTCAGATGAGTCTGCTGAGGACAATGATCACAACCTATCAAATTTGAAATGGTTTTCAGATGCATCTACATCTCGCTTGATTTAGCGACTTGGTAACCCCAATACTATCGTACCAAACATGATTAGTATTACCCATCCAAAATTGGAAGGTTTAGTAGTATTAACCCCCACATTGACTCCTGTGGTTCCCACCGCAACCACCTTATCTAAGGAGACTTGGTTCTTCATGCGAACTGGTCAGAAATTTGAACGCCACGATGAAACCAGGGAGAGCATGGAATTGGAGGCCAAGTCAAAGATTGATAACCAGCTTCGCATGGCACTCACAGATGAAGACTCCGGTATTCTAAAGTCTGGCCTTCTCCCCAAAGTCGATGCTGCTACTCCAGCTGGTTCAAAGGCGCTCCTTGCTTCGATCAGCCAGGCCGGGTCTTGAACGTCATATATCGTTTGAATCAGTTAACTTAGACCATGGGGTGCTAAACCCAGAGCTTATTTGATTTCACGTGCTGAAGGCCCTTGATATCAGGTTTTGATACCCATTTCAGTTCAATGCCGAACTATTTTATATCAAGTTTTGATATCCACTTCATTTCAAAGCCCTTACATGTCAGGGTTGTTATCCACTTCAGTAAAAATGGCTCAAACCCTTTCGTGTCAGAGTCCACTTCAATTCAAATGCTGAAACCCTCTCATACCAGGTTTTGATATCCCTAGCCCAAAAAAGTAAAACCATTTGCAAGGTAGATACCTCGTGTCCACATGGTGTGTACCTCCCTTTTGGCCCCATCAGGTGGCAACTGCGAAGCCCAAGCCGAAACCCAGCAAAGAAAAGACTCAGAAAGCAACCCCGAAAACAGTCAAAGAAATGGCTGAGGAACACATGGCAGAGATGTTGAAGAATGCAGGGAATGCTCGAGGCCAGAGCATCAAGCTTAGCAACTGTCCATATGGAAAGGCTCTTGCAAAGGAGCTTCTGGTCTGGGCAGAAAGCGTCGAAACCCTGTTCAAGGAAATGCAGCAGGCCATTGACTTAAAGGACATGGGCCTGCTTCAGTCTCTCTTTCTTCAAGCGAAGGAGAAAGAAGAGGAAGGAGAGAAAGCAAAGGCGTGCAATGATCATGCACCATATGTAATTATGTATATAAATTGGTTTATTCTTTCAGTCGCAAACTTCCAATGCAAAACTCTGTGTTACCTTCAACATTCCTACTCATACCATCCCATATCCACATCGGAGTTCTTACTCATGCCAGCCACACCCAAGTTGTCTCCTCCAGGCCGCTGCAGTGGCTCTGTTGAAAAAGCCTGCCAAGAAGAAGGATAAGGAGAGTAGCAAGAAGGTCAAGAAAGAAGATAAAGAGCCGAAGAAGAAGTAGGTTTCCCAGGACGTTTTGGGGTTCAAGTGACAAGTGCAAAACATTTGTCTGGTGCCAGGATTGCTAGAAACTGTGTGGTTTCACTGGCAGTCAAATCAATCTATCAACATCAGTCTTTACAACACAAATTGTCCTGCTGTCTTTCTTTTTTGACTAGGGTGCCCAGTGCTGACTACCAGTCACAATCCTGCCCATGGTTCGATCGAAGATTGCCGCGAGCAAAGTGAAAAAAAAGTGGCTGATGGAGATTAACCTCTACAAGTTTTGGGTTTATTCATTTTGTCTTAGATTTGCCAGTCCCACCCGGGCCAGGTCAAACCTCTTCGACCCATTGCAGGCGAGCTTTTCATGCAGACCTGGGCCATGTTGATGGATCTGAACCGTCGTAGTGACCACGGGAAAAGTGGTTTATGTATATTGCATATATACATATAATATATAACGTATACAATGCAATATAATATATATATATCATAAACAATATTTTAAATACATAATATCTGTAAATATCATAAACAATATGTCGATTATATGATATGAAATATCTGTTCATTCTTGAAATGTTAGTTAAAATTTTGTGTGCTATGATGACTGTGATATGACCTGGTTTGAAATGAAATGAAATGATATGATATAATATGCGTTGATAGAATGCAAACTAAAATAAAATATAATTTAACATCATATCATATCATTTAGTATTATATTATCTCATATTATAGTATATGAAATAAAATACTAGAATATAACATCACAAAGTTTGATATAGGTTATGTAAATACAATACAACACAATATAATATATACACACATATATATATAATACACACATATATATATAATATACATATATATATATACACATATTTAATATCTACGCAATATAATATAAAGAGTATAATTTGGATACAATATATGCAATATATAGTAGATATGCAACATACAGTATAATATAATTATCACATATTTGATTGTATTTATATATATATATGTGTATATGTATATAGATATACAACAAAATGTACCAGGATAGATCACGTTTCGCAATCTCACACAGATACATACATCGGTGTGGAAGGGTGGAACCCCATCTCCAATATGCTACCCCAGAATGGATTGGCAATTGTTCCGAAATCTCTATGTGGGATCCTATTTTCTGGCAATTCATCAGGGCTTTTGGGGAGCAGTTCACCTATGATATGACCAATTGGTTCACCCAATTCGCCCAGTTCAACATTGATGGAGTAGCTTGATGTTGGACTTTGGGATGACTGTTTTCCAAAACAAATGTAAACCCAGGGGCGCTTCCTATCCAAACATTGGTTTTAAATTTGTGTCAGATTTTGATTTGATAGATTCTTCTTGTTGGGAAATGGCTTCCCCTATACCCTAAAGGTTGCAATCAAATCGGAAATCCCCCAAGATAGTTGGATTCAGGCCATTGCCATTTGCCCTTGACAGGAAGCGTCAACGCTTGGAAGACCTCCCCAACTCCAGAACTGTTTCCAAGCTGACTGAGCTGGTCGGCAGAGGGAAGGTCAGTGTGGCCTCAGCGTGTGAAATTGCGCAGGGCATTGTCGCAGACCACAAGATACCCCATGGAGCCATTAAGGCATTTGGGTCCCTTGGATGTGAGGGCAAACACCCCCAAAATTGCGAACGAGATCTTCACAGATGGCTTCGATCTCTGTATGGGTTTCAGCTTCAGCCCTATGTGCTACATCTGGGACTTCAGATTGATTCCACCAGGGTTCGGGATGTCGCCGTCCATGTGCTAGCCCCTCATGAAATACTTCATGCGATAGCCACCATGCAGTCGAACTTTGCATTCGATTCTTTGATGCTAGGGAATCTTTCCGATGTTCAAAGGCATGCCTTCTGGAATCATGTGAAAAACTTAGAACCTTGGGCTGACCACCCAGTGTTGGCAACAGCTGACTTCAACAGATTGATTGGGTTGACCATCCACGGAGACGGTGCTGTGATGAAACGGGATGACGAATGCTTCGTTTGGTCAGTTAGCTCATGCTTCTCTACAGAAGGGCTGATCAAAGACCCACTGCTGATGAAATTCCCGGTGGCAATCATCCCTGAACGCCATATGCTTAGCAAAGATGTCCCTCTGTTACATCAACTATACTGGCTATATTTTCAACGTGGTTTTGAACCTCCTGAGGGATTTCCTTTATGATTTTTATTTCAAATTGTTCCCACCACAGAATGTAATTGGGCATGTTGGAGTCTGCTCACCAAACCATGAGCCCCAGCAGTCTTGAGGTCCAAAAGGCCACCAATCGTGAGATTGCTAAGTTCATCGCCTGGTCGATGAAGTGGGCAAGCGCAGGTCTGGGGCCTGAAACAGGCTACTACAACGAGGAGTTTGGTAAGGACACTTATCGGGCTGGTCTTGCTGGAAAAGCATTGGCTTTGGGATGGCGGATTCTCAAATGATTTCAAATCAAATTTTGGTTTTCAGGGTTTGACCAATCCGATTGCAAATGTATTCTAATTCAATGACTACACCAGCAATTCAATAAACACAATGGGATGCCCATTAAGCTGAAATCATTCTTTAATCCACCAATTGGCGGCCCAAATCAAATGCTTTGGGAGAAATGGAAGGTATGTCAAGTGTTGTAACTATCTTCAGCTGGGGTTGTAGGTTATGCCTATGGGAACTTATCGCCATTGTTTTTAACCATTTTCTTGGCACACAAGGGCATGCTATTTTGCAACAAAAGCCGATCTGAAAGCAAGACACTTTATGCATGAGTTCTCTCGTTACTACAGATGCTCGATGTTCTTTGGTATTTGCACTATTCCGGAAACTTTTCATGGATTTGGTGCCCAAACAAAACAACCCCAGGGAAGGAAATCCCATCTTCATAGTTTTTGAATGGTAACATGCATGCCTGGCCTGGCTCAAAAACTTGCGCTCTCTGAGGTTCTGCGACACCTGCTTGGCGTCTCTTGGGAAGGGAACCCATCCCGCTATGAGCGGGAGAAATTATTCTCTTGCAGCAGCGTGGTGGTTGACCCGGTTAAATCATGAAGCCTGCGTTGAGAAGGAGAGTGGGCCTTTGTCGCCATACATGAACATAGAAGGATTCAAAATCGAATCTGTTGTGTATGACCTCATGCACAACATTTTTCTGGGGATTGGTCGAGATCTGTTTGCAAGTGGGTTGAAGCTCTTAATTTGCAAAAACGTTTGGGAGCATCTTGGTGAAGACTGGGACACAATCCTTGCTGGAATCCATTTGGAAATGCACCAAACATGTGCTGCTTACGGGTTCCTCGCACAATTTGGCTATGTGTTTTTGTTTTCCCCTCGCCTGCAAACCCAAAGCTGTTGGATCCCATGGCTCATGGCTGCAGCATGCTGCAGCATGCTGCAGCAACTAACTAAGGTTTTACTTACCGCGGAAGCCTGTGCTGACTCTGTCCAGTTTGAACGGCGATGGTGATGAGTTTTCAGAACTGTCAACGAGATATAAGGCATCCCATGTGCGCCTTATGATTTTTTGGCTTGCCAAAAAGTCTCAAGAGGCTGCTGACTCAAATCAAAATGATGCTGATCTACAAGTTTTGGCTTCTTGCTGCTACGGTCTGCAAAGGTCAATTGAAATTCAAACCCATGGGGATCTCATCCTGGAACAAGATGAAGCCAGTGAAGCCTCCAGGTGTGTTTACCTCTTTGTTGCTTGCTATGCTTGGCTGGCTTTGAAATGCTGTGACGCTGCGTTACTGATGTTTAAGTGCAGACCCAAACTGCATTACTTGTTGCACACCGGTCAAGACAGTGAACGGTTGAGGTTGAACCAGTTAAAATTGTTTTCGACCTTCACTGAGGAATCTTTTTTGGGGCGATTGAAAAGCATCGCATGCCAGGTCCATGGAAAAACCTTGACAACTAGGGTTTTTCAAAGGTACATCCTAACTTTGGCTGTAGCCTTGCATCAGTTCAAGATGCAAATGTTTGACGACACGGCATGATGCCAATCCGGAGCAAAGATGGCAGCAGTCTCTGTGCGTGTGTGTTTGGTCATCCACCCAAAAGGGTTCTCCCAAGAAAATTTGTTCCGAAGTTGGGCATGGCAATCCCCGAAAATATAGGGATGTTGGAAACAGGAAACATTGTCTATAACACGTTGGATGAAAAAATGCATCGTCTTAGAGGTCGCTCTGATCACATGTTTTGTTCGATGTCATCCTCTCGAAAACAATTTTTTTTGGAACCTGTGTAGGCAGTTTGGATATCCCAAGAATTGATTTAATATATTGTTTCAGCACGTGTCCAGCCCAAATTCGCATGGATTTTGGTAAGGTTGGTACGTGGTGGGGCAAGAACTGCAACAACCAACCCCAAAAAAAACAGATCCAAGTTCACATGGATTTCGGCCTCATTGGCACATGGTGGGGCAAAACCACCAAAAAACATCTATGATAAAATGGGTTATCTCAGCGTGTCTCCAGCCGATCACTTGGGTTTAGGTGACGTTGGTACATTGTGGGGTAGGAGCCTAACACTTCCCCCCCCAAAAAAAACTATGCACTTGGTTCCAGCAATAGTGGCCCGTTTCTGATTTTTTCACCAGGACACATGTTAATATGTGTATACCAACAAACAAAAACATTATTAGGTACCACTTACTTACAACTTAGAAAATATACCTGATGCCACTTTATGGACATATTTGGGTTGGCTATGTCTGCATGGGGGACATACCCAATTTGAGAAAATTTATTGTTGCAATTTTCTTTTAAGTTCGCTATGGGAGGGTGCCCCTATGTATTCCTATGCGTTCCCATGTTCAGATAAACTTCACCAGGACACATGTTAATATGTGTATACCAACAAACAAAAACATTATTAGGTACCACTTACTTACAACTTAGAAAATATACCTGATGCCACTTTATGGATATATTTGGGTTGGCTATGTCTGCATGGGGGACATACCCAATTTGAGAAAATTTATTGTTGCAATTTTCTTTTAAGTTCGCTATGGGAGGGTGCCCCTATGTATTCCTATGCGTTCCCATTTTCAGATAAACCAATATGACCATATGATTCCTGCTATATTGTGTATCTTTGAGCAGCTTGAGTTTGACCAGTGGCTGGTTTTCAGCGCATGGTGCTTGTGCGGTGCATGTCAGCTTACTTTTCTCCACAGTGAGCTGCTTGATTCTGACCAGTGGCTGGCTTTCAGCTACATGGTGCTTGTGTGGTGCATGTCAGCTTACCTTTCTCCACAGTGAGCTGCTTGATTCTGACCAGTGGCTGGCTTTCAGCTACATGGTGCTTTTGTGGTAGCATGTTGAGAAGCAGATGCATCCCGCCCACCCACCTAAACATTCCATGATTCGTTAGCAGGGCCGTTCTCGGTCGTGCAAAGGAGTGCCACGCGTGCTTTGCATAGCGTCTATCGGTAAAACACAGTCAAATTTCCTCCAGATGGAAAATATGAAGTTTTGGGTTGTAAGCCCTAAACACGTTGTCGTTGTAAACCCTAAACACGGTGTCGCTGTAAACCCTAAAAACGCTGTCGTTATAAACCCTAAACGCGTTGTCTAATGCGCTGTCGCATTGTCATATAAACCCTTAACTATACTTGTTCTCGCTGTAAACCCTAAACACGGTGTCGCTGTAAACCCTAAAAACGGTCTCGTTATAAACCCTAAACGCGTTGTCGTTATAAACCCTAAATGCGTTGTCGTTTGTCAAAAACGATTTATTTTCACTTTATTCTCATGCAGTACCAGCAGTTTACAAGCATGAGTACAATTTTGAATTTTCATTTCTTCCTTTTGGGGAACATGCGACAATGTTTTACCCAACGAAGCGTTGTCGTTTGTCATTTTCACTTTTTCTTGTAGTTTCCATCGACATGCACTTAAGGCAATGCACGTTTGAGAGGAATTTTTGCAAAAAGTTGAATTTTCTTTTTTTCACTTTGGAGGACATGCGACAATGTTTTATCCATATGACAACGTTTATGGAAAACATTGTCGTTTGGTGAAAACAGTGTCCCATGAGCATCGTTGGAGCCTCCAGGACCTTCAGGCGATAGAATCTCTCGAAAAATTGTGTTTTTCTAGGATTTCAGAAGGGATGGTAGAAGGTTTTTTAGCGTGATTTTGACACTTTTTTCGAAGCTGTTTGGCGTTTTCCTGCCGGCAGCTGCTTTTTTGGAAGCTGTTTTACTGCCAGCAGTACTGCCAGCAGGAAAAAGTAGTTATAGGCATACTTTTGATCCTTCACTGCCACGTTTTACGGCCAGTAGCTGCAGGCAACAGAATCCCTCGATCTCTCGAAAAAGGTTGTTTTTCTAGGATTTCAGACGACACGTTAGGCAGTTTTTTAACGTGGTTTTGAAACTCGATAGATCTACTAAGCTTCTCTAGGATTTCAGAAGACACGTTCGGCAGCTTTTTTGCTGCGATTTTGCGTCCTTTTCGGCACGAAATTAGGTGGTGTTTTACTGTTTCGGACGTGCTTCGAAACAGCAGGGCCAGCTATATATAGTTTTATATTTATAGTTTAGGAGATTTTCGCGGCTTCAGCAGCAGCCAGTAGCCAGCAGCTCAGGAGATTTTCGCGGCTTCAGCAGCAGCCAGTAGCTAGCAGCCAGTAAGTAGGTAGCAGGCCGGTAGCAGCAGCAATAGATCTAATTCTATCTAATTCTAATAAGATTCTTTAGGATTTCAGAAGACACGTTAGGCAGGTTTTTGCTGCGATTTTGTGTCCTTTTCGGCACGAAATTAGGTGGTGTTTTATTGTTTCGGAGGTGCTTCGAAACAGCAGGGCCAGCTATATATAGTTCTCTAGGATTTCAGAAGACACTACTGCTGCTGCTGCTACTACTACTGCTACAGCAGCAGCAGCAGCAGCTAATTTTTTTGCACAGATTGTCTGTTTCTAGGGTTTCAGAAGCAACGTTAGGCAGTAGGGGTCGTTGCCGGCAGGCCCGGTCCGTCCTTCAGGGCCCTGCTGTTTGGGCGTGGCGGAGGCGCCGTTTCTGAGTTTGGCAAGCTCGAAGATGGCTACTTTTCTTGTAGGTTCAGAAAGCAACATTAGGCAGCAGGGGCCGTTGCCGGCAGGCCCGGTCCGTCCTTTCGGGCCCTGCTGTTTGGGCGTGGCGGAGGCACTTAAAAAGACACTTAGCCGAAAACTACATACAAGTCGTACACCTTGTTCAAACCATTAGTGCCAAGAAAAAACATGCTATGCATACTCTGCGCCGTGGCTAGTTGCTGCACCTGCCACTAGCAATAATATTGCACCTTGCCACGGATGGTTTTCAAAGTGCTAAAGGTGCCTGCATACCAACGCATTCTGAACAGACTTGCTAATAGAAACTGATACATCCATCAGGGTTCAGATAAGGGGGGAGGAGTTGTGCAGACGGTTTTGGTAGATACAGAGCGGAATGCACAGGGTGCACAACTACAAAATGCAAGTGCATGTACTTTTTTTTCAGCTACAAAATGAAGAACATAACTCTTTCTGGCTCGGAAAACAATTCAAAACCAGTACTACAAAATCCAATGCATCTGAAGTCAAAAAAATAGCTGAACGTCGGAATTTCTAACATGATTTTTCCCAATGACATTTTGTAGTTGGGTCTTTGAATTCCAAAGTTCCGACCAACATAAATTCGGAGAACATTTTGTAGTTGTCAATGATTGAATTTAGTTGGATCAAGTGTTGACCCCGTGCGGTTTGTTAGATGGCATTCTGTAGCTTCATGATCTGTTTGTCCATGCTAATGAAATTTTATGTTGCATGCTTCAACTGACTCAACATATATAACTACAAATGAAAATGCATGCAACGAAAGGAATCAACTACAAAATGATTCCAAATACAAAATGGGGGGCACAACCCCTCCTGTTTGTACAAAAAAATGCTGGCTGGCAATCTGTACTGTAGCCCAAGTCCTCCCCATTTCGTAGCTGAAATTTGAAGGAGGATATACATCCTCAATATCTAATTAATCGCTCAAGAAAATCAGCAAACCTTCGCTCCCAAATCCTCCAAAAATGACG